TCCCCTGAGGCCAGGGGCCCCTACTTCCCCTTGCAGGAAGGGGGCGACCTACTGGCTCTGTGGGACCGACCTGCCTACACGGCAGGGAGCAGGAACGCTGTTGTTCAGTTTTGCTGCTCAAGTCGTACAGCTGACGTAGCTCCACTACTCAGCGTTTGTGTGCAATAGCGGCCTACACCTGTCATGCTAGTCGGGCAACGCTCGCTGCTTTCCCAGAAAGGCAACGCCTGTCAGCAACACAGCTGACCAATGGCTGAAATCGGCTTTACAAACCCCCATTCTCGGCTCGAGAAGGGGGGTTTGTCCGAGGCCTAAAAATCAAGGTTTTGCAACCCCCCATTCTCGGCTCGAGAATGGGGGGTTGTCCGAGGCCCCCAAGCCATTGCCGGCAAGCCTGGCCTCTGGAGGGGAGTACGCCTCTTACGAATAAGGTTAGCCTTATTAGGCACAGTGTGCTTACCGCCAGGGTGTGCCACATCGTTCACCGATGCAATCTGCTTGCCCACAAAAGCGGAGCTGCCTCAGATAACAGCACTAGCAGCCGTTCCACATGCTCATCACCTTTGCGACCTTACGGCCCATCGCCTTTGATTGAGAGTGACCATGAGTGGGACGCCACGCAACAGGCACTCTGAGTGACGGTCCCGAGGGGGTACGGCTCATCAATCATCGGTCCGTGGACATGGGACGCCATAGTCCACACTGAGGGTGACGGAGGGTTTCTCACCCACGCCTGAGACGCATGAACCGGCTTTTGAGGTAGCTTGTAGGGTAGCTCTCTTCACGGTAGCCTGTTTCAGCGCTTTCAGGCCCAGGCCCTTAGCATTTCTGCTCTCAGACCTTTGTTCAGGTGCAAAGGCAGTCTCACACGCCCGCAATGAGCAGAGCCCGCTCGCTCAGCGTCCAATAAAATAGTAGTATTAGTAGTAGTAGTGGTAGTAGTAGTAGCAACAATACTAGACGAGAGCTTGTAGTATTGTGCTTGTTGCAGTCGTAGTAGTCGAGCTCTGCTGCTTTTGTTTTGGAGATATTCTCGGTCGTTTAACACTGTCATGGTTTGTTTAGGTGCTGAGGGAGAGGTCGAGGGATCAATTAAGTCGTCAGGAATGAATTACTTCCCGAGTCCTGAACCCCACACGAACCAAGAGTTGGTGGCTTCTCAGAAAGGCTGGGACAAGCGCCTCTTCCCCGCGGGCGGCAACTCTGAAACCGTGGTGGTGCTGAAGCCGCTCGTACGAACTCCTCAGACGGTTTTGTCGATACACACAAAGCATGACCGACCTTGATGCACGCTCATGTTCAGAGGCAGGTGCAAAGCCATGCATGGTTGCAGCAGGTGAACCGTTTGACAACTGCATAAGTGACGTTTTCAAGACTGCATACATGCGCCTTGACCTAACAGTGTGCATGTCTGCATGTCGAGAAGGCACGGGCTTGTGGGCGGTTGCAATGCACGTGTATGCCCACGACATGCTGCAGGACACTGTGGGGGTACGTATGTATGCATCCCGAGCTTTCCGTAGACGCACATGCCCGGACGCAGATAGAGACTTAAGCAGACTGCAAGCCGAAGCAGTCCTACCAGTAACACGCATATGTTGCCCAAGTTGTCGGTGGATACAATATTTCAGGGTTCACAAATTGGTGGCACGTTCGTTCGGTAATTAGATCAATGGGAGCTAAGCACTGCTGTGCTGTTGTTGAGGTCTTCAAGTTGAAGGTGTGCATCAACAGGAATCCGCTTCCACATGCCGCAAACGCCCTAAACCACAAGCCCTAAGTGCTGTTGGGCTTTTCGCTTCGGAGGGCGTACTTTCCCTGGAATCCTTTACAGTTGCAGATTCTGACGAGTTCCCTGCGGTGCGACATTGTTCAGCTGGGCGGGTGGCAAAAAGCTGTATCTGATGAAAGGGATCTCGGAGGGGTAGAGCTGCACCATTTAGCAGGTTGATAAAGCTTAGGTGGAGCTCTTGTTGCACTCGGCAGCTGAAAATCCCCTGTAGATTCGTCTCACTCCTCAGACCTCGAACCACATGCCTCGCCTGGATCGTCCGAGTGTGGCGCCGAAACTGGGGAAAAGGAGCTCATGAAAACGCAAACCCAAGCCAAAACCCTTGCCATGCCCACGCACGAAGCCCCTCAACCTGAACACCTGCAAATCCTGAACCCCTACAGTAAGCAACTGAGGCCGGGGAGGTTCTCACAGGCGGAGCGCAGCTCGGTTGAGAACCCCGGTCGCTGGGCAAGCACTCTCAGAGGGAACTGAAACTGAGAGTTTCAATACACTGGGGTCTAGGGTTTGACGGCAGCTTAAGGTTTAGGGATCCCTTTCTGCGGATCCTTGAGGTGCGAAGCTCTTGCCCCGTAGGACGAAGACTCAGGAAGTAAGTTGAGATTTTCTACTCATTCGCTTGAAATTCCGCATGTGTGACGTTGCTGACGGGGTCTAGGTTTAGTTGCTTTACTCCGGCTAGCTGGCTGGCCCTGCCTGCCTGCTGGCTGGCTGGCTGTGTCCCTGGCTGTCTGTCTGTCGGTCTGACTCGGCCCAGCTAGCTGTTTGTGCACGGTTTACATAGACGGACCGGCCTGAACGCGTAGGTGCTTGCTCAAAGCTTGCTCAATTGCATGGTGCTCATGCCGGTTTCGGCCTCCCGCCGTCCGAGAGGATGTACAGCTTCTGCACAGCGTCTCCAGGAGAACGCCTGCCATTCACTATTCTCCAATGAACCCCTTTCCCTTTGTCCACAAAGAGCCTGGACGCAAGCGATGTACGGAAGAGCAAAAGAAGAAGAGGCAAGAAGAACAAAAGAAAGCAGAGAGAGAGAGAGAGAGAGCGAAAGACAGAGAACGAGAGAGAGAGAGAGAGAGAGCGAGAAGGAATGAGAAACTAAGAAGTAGACACAGCACCAGACTCCACTTGCAGTGCACTCTTCTTCTGATGCACAGACAGTTTGGTCGTTGGCCCTCGAATGTATCCCCTGCCAGCCTGTGCTGCGAGGCTGAAGGTCTACCGGAGACGGCACCAAAGACACAAGCAGACGAAACATTTCTGCCGTCCCACCTCCTTCTTCCCGAGGAGAACCCTTCCAAACTCCGTTCTTCCGAGATCTCCTGATCGAATGTCCGGACACCTGTACTCCATCGACAAGCTGTAGTCGTTCTTTTGTCAATGCCGTTTTCGACAGCAATGTCGTTCTTCCCCCTCGAAACGAGCTCCCAGCCCCCAGCAGGAGACGCAGCAGCTCCCCTCGATCCATTCCACTTCGCTGTCTCAACCGCCGTCGCTCCCAGAACGTCTCGACACTCTACGTCGGCGCCAGCTTCGAGAAGCAAACGCGCCGCTTCCACGTGTCCGCCATGACACGCACACATGAGCGCGGTTCGGCCGTCCTCATCCTGTAAGTTCACATCGACGCCAACTTGCAGCAGCAACGGCACATTCACCGCACTATTTCTCCGAGCTGCCATCATGAGGGCTGTCCTACGGTCTTGCTCTGTTGCAGCGCCCCGCCGAAGCAACAAGCTTGTGACGATACTGACTGACGATACTGTATAGAAAATAGTTGTGGATGCTGGTGAAGGTTGTTTCGGATAACTGCCTGGCGACGCCTTAGGATGGCTCCAGATCTACATTGACTGCAGCAATGCCGGGCTGCAAAGGTCCAAGCTTTCAGAGTGTAGGCCCAAGATTAAATGGCCCGAACATACCGAAACCACCGCATCCCAATCTGGACTCCCTTATCCACCACAACCCCAGCAGGCCTAGACTAGACTCATGATGCATCCACTCTCCGAAGTCTAAGCATACTCTTTCCTCATCTTGTTAGTAGAAGATGTCTCCCACCCAGGTCATGGCCGGAACTGGGCGGTGACTCGGAAATTCCAAAGGAAGGGGGTTTTGCATCTAGGGCATAGATGAAACACACAGTTGCTACATGCGCTGGTCCGTTTCTTCAGTTGGTAGCATATCATTAATCAGAGTATCACTTGATAGCTGCTCTCGTCATCCTGGCAGTGTTATTCCGCCTGCGATTTCGCATCCAGTGATTGATTTTGCTGTTATGTTTGCTCTTGCTGTTGTTGAAGCTGAACCTAGACCATGGGAAACAGAACTGATGTCTCATGAGCATCGTCGTCATCATCGTCGACAACATCGTCATCACCGCTCCCACCACCGCAGCACCCACCAGCACCACCATCATCATCACCATCATGATCACCACCGCTTTAGTTGTTGTTGTTGGCACGATGTCTAGCTTCCACTCCTTTTGTGGCCTAGTGTTCCTGCCCCCAAGCTCCTAAATCTTGCAAATAGAGAAATTGAATTCTGTGCTTAAACACATCCGCTGGGACACTTGAAAACTTTGGCAGGCCCAGTTTTTGGCAGAATGACTTACAGTTGTTCTCCTATGAGAATTCTTTTGATGTCGCATCCCGATACCAGTGTTGTAGAACATGCCCAGAGTCCCCAGTCAGACTCGTCGGCATGACTGCGTGGTTTAAAGAAGCATCCACAGGGTTCCGCGCCTCCTGGTGTCAGGCTTCAGAAGGTCGGACTGCTCAGACCCCAACTTTTCCACAGCGTTTCGGTTGCGTTCCGTTCGTGCCTTTCCGTTCGTTCCGTTAATTATGAAGCCCGAGAGTTCCTATAGGAGCCCCTTTGAAGGCGTAAGCGCCTCCACACTGAGGTCGAGGGCAAGCCTGGGGCAAGCTTCCGCATCGTGTATAAGACAGCTAGCGGAAACGTCACCTGCGAGCGCGCTTGACCGGAAAATGGCGCGCTGAAACGTCACAAGGCTCCATGGCTCCGCTTGGGTTATAGGATATGACTAGGCTCGATGGACCATGTTTGCAAGTTCCGGCTTGATCCTGCCTTCGGCGGTAGGATGTCTAGGGCAAGGGCCCTGACGTAGGCGATGAATGCCATGGTGCCAGCGTCCGGGGGTGCACCCAGTGATGCTGCGCCGGGCGGGGGGCCTGGGGGCCCTGGTGCACTGGGGATGCCTCCCATGGGAATGCCGACCATGCCCGGAATGGGCGGAATGCCCGGCGGAATGCCCGGCGGAATGCCTGGCGGAATGCCGGGCATGATGATGGGCCCGGCGGCGGGGGCGCCAGGCGCGCCCGGTGCATCAGCTCCGGGAGCCAACGGCACTGCTCCGCAGGGCATGGGTGCGATGCCGGGCATGCCTGCCGGAATGCCCGGAATGATGCCAGGCGGAATGAACCCCATGATGAACCCTATGATGTTCATGATGATGCAGCAGCAGATGCAGCAGCAAATGCAGCAGCAAATGCAGCAGAACATGCGTCACGGGCAGCTCACACAGACCATGATGAAGAATGCGACCAACGGTCCCGCGGAGTCAAAGCCTGGGGCCACTCTGGCCGATGACGATGACACCATAGACCCCGAGATACAGGAGCTTTGCGAAGCTTGCCTTGTCATGCAATTGAGTTTATTTGTCGCCAGCGGACTTGCCAAGCCTTAGCACATCTGAATAAGCTGGGAGTCCACGGCCGGTCAAATGCCCAACATGCGAAATCTGCCTGCGACTTGCTGCTGATGTAAGGACTATTTCAACATCGAGGACAGATGGATCAAGAGACTGAACGAAACTATGAAGAAGAGGCAAGACACAAAGGCAGAAGACATCGAGAAGTTGTATGAGACTCTTGAAAGAGCACGAAGCCCCACCGGTTTGCTGACGGTCAAGATCGGTGAGATGGAAAGCGGTCGCTTCATCGGCAAAGTGAAGCCAGCCAAAGAAGTGGAACGACTGGCTCGAAAGTTCAAGCTGGATGACCCCGTAGCGTCCAGGCTTACAGCACCGAGGCTGCTATAGTTGTTTTCTATAGAAGCCGGGCATAGAACGTCGCCGTCCAGCGCGCGTGGTGCTGTCCATCGCTAGCCTATTTTGTTCTAGGGTTGCTGTAGTGCTGTCAGCTTCGTTGTGGTTCTGGAGGTAGTTGCCATGTTTGCTTCTCTCGCCCTGACTGCATGTGTTTATGGTGTTAAATTGTAGTGCTGTCCTGGTTGCTATCATCGTGGAGCCGCGCGATCCTGTTGATACACGGGTGCATCCAAGGAGCTTATTCACAGGCGAAAGAAGGAGAACGAGATTGACCGCATGCATAAGGATCTGAACACAGTCGAGCAGCATCTGAAGTATTGCAAACGCGCCAATGCCATGGCCACCCTGCTCGCTGCTTGGCGCTCTTGGCGTTTTGCGGTTGCGATGAAAAGACCCGAAAAACCTTTGCATTCAGAGAGAGAGAAAGAGAGGCAGAGAGACAGAGAGTGGGAGAGAGCTAGTGAGCGATGGGGCAGCGCGCCCGCGCGGGGTGGGAGGACTGCTCCCGCTCCAAGCCCCTAGCAAAGCAAAGCTAGTGAGCGAGTGAGCGATATAGAGAGACAGAGAAAGTGTTGCCTTGAGTCTTGGAGGTTGGGAAGTTGCTGGAAGGCGAGGTGGAAGAGCTGCCCGACTTGTCGGATGCTGAGAAAGTCATGGACAAGTATCGTTTAGACGATGACGCAAAGTCGAAGCTGCGTGAAATCATTGAGAAGAGGGCGGAGGACAAAGACGAAATCTTGGTGAAGATCAAGAAGCACCTGGACAACTGCGCGAACCCGTCATCAATGCTTTGTAACTGGGCCCGCTTGAAAGTGAATTCAAGTTGTGCACGGGCAAGGGTGTGCGAATGGACCTGTAGCCGCCATTACTTGGTTTGTTGCCATAGCATTGTAATTGCGACTGTTGTGATTGCATCCTGGTCGTTTTCGGTTCTTAGTCCGAAAAGGGGCTTCTGGGATCATTTTGGTTCACGCGTGCGATGGAAAACTGAAGAACAGGTCTTGGGAACTTTAGGTCTTGTGGTTGGAACTTGTGAGGGTTTCAGGATATCCGTGTAGGTACGAAAACACTCATAGTACAGGACTAATTGGTCGTCGCGGTGCCTCTGTGAACGTATGAGATATCACTATGCCATGGGCTCTTAAACCTTGACGCTCCAACACCAAGCGCACCCGACAAACCCATGCAGAGTGTTGACTGCACAATCGACCGTCATCGCGAGGCAAGATCGCGAGGCCGTTGATTGACAACGAGCCCCTGGCTGATCCACCCGAGCGACCGCAAAAGGGCGGCGAAAAGGGAGAAGGCCGCGAGTCTGCATTATCGGGTAGCGTTCCTTTACAATCAGAGGTATATAGTTGATTTCAATGCCCATGTGGACACAGGGTCCTTTTTGGTTTTGTTGTGCAGGGTGCGAGAAGGCGGCCAGCGTAGTGAGAGAAAGAACCAAGAGGTGTGGGAGCCGTATGCTAATGAACCAACGCTCATCTGTCGAATGCTCGCAGTAGTCTGCCAACGACAAACCAAGGCAAAGGCGGCGGTAAAGGAAAGGACAAGGACGGAGTTCCGATCTGTTGCGAAGTAGAGCACTTTGCTTCCGCATGGCGAGGGTCCGGCCTCAGAATGCCAAGGAGGGCTGGGCAAGAGTCGGTTGGTCGTTCTATAGTCTCCGAGCGGGTGGTACCTCCTGCATCTTAAAAACATGGCTCCATGTGACAGGTCACGACCCAACTCAACAATGGCCTGTCGCGTAAGCTTCGGAATAAGTTCAGCTGCTGCAGGAGCATGTTAAAGCAGTCCCCTCTGTTGCAGAAACCACGATACCATCGGACTTACAAATGCGCAGCTTGGGTGTCGGCCTGTCTTCGTTTATCCGCCACCCTGAATCTCATGCACCCGTGCCTGAAGCAGTCGGAAGTCTATAATCCGGAATTGTAAACGCCCGAACCTCGGGCGTGTCGCGAGCACCAGCATCACGGCTTTGGGATCATGGGTTCGCGGCCTTGTTTGGGCCTTTGCAGTCCGGAGGCTCTTGAACAGTGGGCAGGGGTGCCAAATTAACCTGGAGACCCCGCCGGGTGCCAGTACACATGGTATTTGGCAAATCCTCAACGGCCTAGCTCTGACCTGCCCCGAATTCGTCGTACTGGCGCCATCAAACGACAGGTGCAGCACTTGCTGCACTGGCAACCGCTGAGCATTCAGACCGGCACATGAAGCACTTGCGTGCATTGCAAGGGCACGGTTGGCCTTTCAGCCACATGCATGACTGAAAGGTGAACAAAACACCACCATAAAACAAACCTCAGCCTTCACAAGCTTCAGTTGTCCTGCAACCTTGTTGGCCAACCATGCAAAACCTGCTTTTGCTTCTGGGCCGGTTGCAGGACCAGGACCGTCGAGACCGGCACCGGAGTCGGAGCCGCGACCGGCATCGAAGTCGCAGCCGACGGCGGCGCAGTCGGACCGACATGCGTTTTTGCTTCAGTCAATAAGATGAGACGTACATAAGCCCTGCTTGCGATAAGTCAGCACCCCACCCTGGTCTGCTGTGCATGAAGCCACCAATAATTAGGCCAATCCGGTTTGATCCACTTGAGGCTAGGGATAGGTGCAGAGTTCAGGTTCTGCTGCGTCCACTGTTGCATGGCGCCGGTATTATGCTGCTAACGAGGCTTTGCTAGTAGAGTGGCAGCATGCGGAGAAGTCAGTAGGACGAGGAGGAGAGAGAGAGGCAAGAGTTGAGGAATTGTGCCTCCAGCATGCCGTTGTACGTGATGCAGACATGTCTTGGCTGTAGATCATCATGAATCAGTTTTACACAGCGGGTGCTACTACATGTCAGCCCGAGACACAAAAGACTTTGTTTTGTTTTTCTGCGTGTGTTCCAATCAGCGGTCAAGTATCCTGGTTAGAGGCCTCAGCCTTCCTCTGGTAGTAGTGTAGAACGTACTGAGGCCATAGCGTTCCCTCTCGATTCTCTTCCTTTGTACTGTCCACCCCGGCTTCAGCGAGAGCCAAGCCACCGGGTATTGTCCGGCCTGTCCTTGCATTGCCATACAAACTCCTGCCCCTGTTTTGGCACACGCCGGCTAGCTGTTGCTTTTGTTTCCACTTCGCATGTCGAGGCTTTTTTTGTTCGTTCGTCGCGTCAAGGCTGCAGGGAGGAACAGAAGCCCAAAGCACCTTGCCAACGGCCCTCTTCACCGTCCCGAGGTAGCTAGGCCTCGTGGTGGTTGGTTCTCTTGTGTGCTTGTTCCTTACGTGGAGCCTTTCAATATTGTCCCCGAGATTGGATGGCCTTCGCCCAGCTGTTCTTGTTGGCCCTATGGCAGTCTTGGACCTTTGGGTTCAATACTCGGGCTCGCGGCCCCCGCAGCAAACCTACAACAAAGCTTGAACTTTTTCCGCCGGATTCTGCTGTCTGGTTTCCAAGAGGGCCAATATCCACAACTCGGCAGACAAACTCCGAAGGCAACGGCATGCCTTCTGCGTCAGGGCTGCAGGAATTCGTGTAGAGCGTGTCACTTCTTCATGGGAGCCCTGCTGGACAGGAGCCGGGGCAAGCGGAGCCGTAGCCGCGGCCGAGAGAAGAGCCAGGAACGCAAGAAGTCGCCCGGACTGTGGACGCTAAGATGACAGCTACGGGTTGCAGAATCCAAGGATTTTGACAGTGATGATGATGACGACGACGATCATGAGTTGATGCTGTGGCAGGTGTTGATGGTATTGTTGCTGTTTCGATTATGGTGATGGTGGTGGTGGTGATGATGAACAAGAATAAGACAATGTTCTTGTTATTGTTCCTGCGTTTATTTATTAGCGTATTGTGGCGGTTGCTGTTGCTGTTGCTACGGCTCGTGCTGTTGCTGTGGCTGGTGCTGTTGCTGCTGTTGTTGTTGTTGTTCTTCTTCTTCTTCGTCTTATTGTTGTGCTCTTGTTCTTTTGTTCTTCATGTTCTTCCTGTTATTGATATTCTTCGTGTTGGCGGTGGCGGTGGTGGTAGTGATGGTAGTGGTTGTCGGTTGTATGTACTCTATTGTTGTTTGCTGGTCGTTGCCGTGGCTGTTGTTCTTGTTTCGAGTGCTGAGAGTGGATTGTCGCAACGCAAACGCACAGGTGCTTGCGGGTTGGTTTTCTGTTTTTCGGGGTCGTGTTGTAAGGGTTCTTTTCTACTTATGTTCAGCCCTTCTGGAGTTAGGGGGCGAACTTGAAGCAAGAAATCCTTGAGCTTCGAGGATTCAAAACAGGTTCCGTCAAACAGCCAACAGTCGCCTCAAAAGCCTACACTGTTGTTGTTGTTGTTGTTGTTGTTGTTGGTTGTGGCTGCGTTGGTTGAGGCCGGTTGTGCTTGCTCTTGCTGTTGCTGCTGCAGTGGTGGTGCGTGGTGTTTGTTTTTTATTTGTGTTGCTGTTCTTCTTCTTTTACGCATGGTTTCCAGGAAGCAGGAAGACGTATTTGATGAGCTGCTGGTGCTGTTATCGACGACGATGGCCATGATGGTGGGGCGGTGGCGGCGCGATGGATTGTGATGGTGAGGGCGGAGTTGATCGTGGTGGTGGTGGTGGTGGTGGTGGTGGTGGTGGTGGTGGTGGTGGTGTGGGTGGTGTGGGTGATGGTTCTGCCTTTGCTTCGATGTGGATGGTGATGGAACTGAAGTGAGTTCGTCGTCGCGTAATGATGATGATGATGATGATGGTGATGATGCGGATCCAGTGACACTCAGGCAGGTATCGGACAACAGCCATCATCATCAGCATCATCATGTTTTGCCATTTATGACAGCGGATCACGTGTCAGCCAGCACATAGCAGATCATCCAACTCACGTCCGAAACATACATACAACCGTGTGTTCAGAACTGAAGCACGATCTTCATGTGTCCGGATGTTGGGAAGCCTGGTGCTAACTTCATGACCCTGCGGTCTTCTAGCCGTGCTTCACGAATAAACAGTCCGTCCTTCGTAGGGCTTCGGGCTGAGACCAGGCCAGAAGAGTGAGCGACCACTATCGAGTTTGGGCTTGCGTCGCGTTAGCGATGCCTCGATGCGTAACGAGTTTCAATCGTCAGCTTTGCAGGCACCTCGCCCGCATGGGCGGTGGCCACTAAAAGTGTGACTGCCGCCGCCTGCAATGTTCTCAAAGTCTTCAGGTGTTTGACGGGTTCACTGCACCCCACACAGCGTTACGACACCTGTAGTCATGCTTATAGCCACGCCCAACCGTGGATGTGGTGATGCGCTGCACCAGCACATGTTTCGGAAAGGTCAGCGGCAAAAGATCTGCGGAGGAATTAGACATTGCGGGTTGTCAGCGGGTGAGGCTGTATGGCTCGGATGCAAGCATTCGACGTATATCACAGCTATAACAGTTATAAGGCGGTGCACAGTTGCTAACTTCACGGTTGCTGCAAGTGCAAGCTTTGGCCTTCTGAGAAGCATTTTTGTCTGCCATTCCTTCCTGTGAGTTTCGGCTTACTTCCGCCTCTCGCGGGATGTCCTGGGCAAGGGACCTTAGGTAGCATGCAGCCGCCCAACGCCATGGTGCCCACGGCGCCCGGGGCTGCACCCGGCGGGGGTGCACCCGGGCCCGGAGCTCCCGGAGCTCCGGGGATGCCCCCCATGATGGGGATGCCGCCAATGCCCGGCATGATGATGGGAGCACCTCCAGCGACGGGAGGAGGGACAGAGCCGGCGAACGGCACCAGCCCGGCACCGGGAATGCCAGGGATGCCACCCGGAATGCCGGGAATGCCCGGCATGATGCCCGGTGGCATGAACCCCATGATGAACCCGATGATGTTCATGATGATGCAGCAGCAAATGCAGCAGCAGATGCAGCAACAAATGCAGAAGATGCAGAACATGCGACAGGGACAGCTCGCGCAGACCATGATGTCGAATGCGATGAGTAGCCAGTCAGAGCCCAAGTCGGGGGTCAAGCTCCCGGATGACGATGAGACAATCGATCCCGAGATACAGGAGCTCTGCGAAGCTTCCTTGCATTGCTCGAAAGTCATGCTTTCTTGTCCTTGGCATGTACCTTAAGAGCCTTAAGACTTTCTGCAGACCGGCGAGCTGAGGATTACTTCAACATCGAGGACAGATGGATCAAGCGGCTGAACGAGACTATGAGGAAGAGGCAAGACACCAAGGCCGAAGACATCGAGAAGCTATATGAGGTGCTCGAAAGAGCGAGAAGCCCCACCGGCTTACTGACGGTAAAGATCGGTGAGATGGAAAGCGGTCGCTTCATCGGCAAAGTGAAGCCAGACAAAGATGTGGAGCGACTAGCTCGAAAGTTCAGGCTGGATGACCCTGTTGCCTCCAGGCTTACCGCGCCATGGCATTTGAAGATTTGCAGAACCTTTTCAGCCCGTGCAGACCCCAAACAAATAGTGAAAGGGGTTGTGGTGTGAGCCCGATCCGGGCAAGCGGACCCAAAAATATGTCCTGCTCATTGCTGGCGGAGGCACGATTTCGGAAACGAGCCTCGGAAACGCACAGGGGCAACGGCGGGACGAGGAGTCGCACGCCACATGCCAAAAGACGCGTGAAGTCTACACCGCCTTAAATGGGCTGGACGCCGAGACCATGCCGAAGTGGCCCTGCCAATCAGATCGAAAACGAGCGATTTGCAGGCCGCACGAGTCCCACCGCGAAACGCCCCCAAATATGGCACCGTGGCGAGAGCCCGACGCACCCAGGGAGGCAAAAGGCAAGGACCATCGTGGTGCGACTGGGACGGAGCTGCGGAGTCGTCGGGTGCACCTGCCGCCCGCGTCTCGCGGAGCAGATAACTACCCAGTCAGTCTACGCTGAACGTCAGAACCTATCGTGTTAAAAAATGTGTGGCAATTGGGGACTGCATCAATGAGCGCATTCATGATTCATAATGTAGCATGTTCTTGCACAGCAATGCCTGTGGCTGGTTAGCATGCCAGGCTGTCAACATGTCAGACAGCATTGGGTGAGAACCCATCGTCGGTGAATGCACCGGCTTTCACGCAGCTGTCATCCCGTGCTTCACTTGCCTGTGTGTCGTTCAAACTTCTCCTGTCCAAGGAGCTTACTCACCGGCGAAAGAAGGAGAACGAGATTGACCGCATGCACAAGGATCTAAACACCATCGAGCAGCATTTAAAGTACTGCAAGCGTGCCAATGCCATGGCCACCCTACTTGTTCCCTGGCCCACCTGAGCAGTTATCTCATAAAGGAGGAGCATGGCCGCTCTGTTTTCTTCACGTCTAGTTTCAGATGTGCAGAAACCCAGGTTGGGAAGCTGCTGGAAGGCGAGGTGGAAGAGCTGCCGGACTTGTCGGATGCTGAGAAGGTGATGGAGAAGTATCGCCTGGACGATGATGCAAAGTCGAAGTTGCGTGAAATCATCGAGAAGAGGGCAGAGGACAAGGACGAGGTCCTGGTGAAGGTCAAGAAGCACCTGGACAACTGCGCGAATCCCTCCTCGATGATTTGCATTTTGCCTTTTACCTATGATCTGAAGAGGGGCTGCTGGAGTCTTTACCAGTTGACCTTGGAAGTAGATGCTGAAACGAGGGTCATGTGGTTCACTGCACGGCATCTGTTAGTTGATGTCGGTTGTACACAACCAGGCACTTCTTAGAGCTTTGAGTCCTCTCATCTCAGTGCTCTAGCTATGGCCTTTGTGTTATTTTCTGTTGCAAGGCAAGATCGCGAGGCCGCTGATTGACAACGAGAATTTGCCAGATCCGCCCGATCGGCCGCAAAAGGGTGGCGACAAGGGCGAGGGCTGCCAGGTTGCACTGTGGTCACAAGGTCGGTTCCATATTTGGTCCGACCAGAGGCTGCTAGCATCAGCGCAAGTCGAGGCATCAAACTCGGCAGAAGTACCTGAACGGGCAAATTCCCGTGAAATCCATCCGGAACCCTGGTAAACTGCAGTCAGCGTATGCGTGGAAGACAAACTAAGTCTTTCTAAGGAAAAGGTGGTGGCAAGGGCAAGGACAAGGACGCAATCTAGGGACACAACGCGACAGCCAGCTGTGAATCAGGAATCTCTGAGGTGGAGAGGAGCTCATGATTAGCCCGCGTGGTAAGTCAGCTTAAAAGCCGTGCTCGCAATACAGGACAATCGGGACCGGCACCGCAGCCGCAGCCGCGACCGGCATCGAAGCCGCAGCCGACGACGGCGCAGCCGGAGTGGGAAGGGTTCCACGGGGCCAAATAGGTGTAAGGCAGTGTAAGGTTTCAGGCTTGAACTTGTTTGACGTGTGATGAAAGAGGCTACCCCGTAGCAGGCATTCGACCTAGGAGGCTTCCTTGCCCGAGGCCCGTTTTGTAAAATTGAATGTGAAAACGGCGGACGCTTCTCGCAAGATCTCGCAAGAACTCCTAGAAGTACTCGACGAACCAGGGGGCAGCATGTTGCAGATCCTGTGCAAGGAATCTGTACAGCACTCTCCTCCAGAAAACTTGAGGTTCCTGTTCCGTGTCCATGCCTCTTGCGATGTCGGTGGAGACTTGGGCTACTACAGGGATTCGGCCGCTTGCAACGTTGCATCTGGCTCGGGAGTTTATTATTGCCCTCCACAACACATGCAAGACTGTGTTGTGGAGGAGTTACTTCAGACTGTCCGAGAAATCTGAAGGTTTCGCGGCAAGAGTAAACATCCAGATGCGTGGGCCAGTAGGTACGTGCGACGGAACCATTCCGACCTCAGAACGCATTAAGAAGCATATTCAGGCTTCGGCGAAAATGTATGCAAAAGATTACAGGCGGCGCAATTCGCAATGCATTTCGAGGGTTGCTGAGGGCAGGCCGTGTGTGGTGCCGCGGAGACGACACCCGGCGACGCTTCAGTAACGACTCTACACCCACAATATCTTCAGCCACTCCTCGTAGCATGCCTGAGAGTGTAACGGTCACAACACCTGCAGAGCTCCAACCCAGGGATGGCCCCTACAGTATGATCCCCGATGGGTTTATCGATGTTTTGTCCTGTTGGCGGCATCAAAACCAAGATCTATGTTTCTTCGAACACGAAGCTCATGAAACGCCCATTTCGCGACATGCGAAAGCTGTTCTCGAACAGGCACTCCTCTGCAGACTCTCGAATCGCTCGGAAGGAGCCGTGGCAAACGCAGCCGCAGCCGTGGCAGGGAGAAGAGCCGCAGCCAAGAACGCAAGAAACCGTTCCGGGCTCAGGCTGCCTAAGAGGACTGGGACATGCTACGTAGTCCCCGAGATCAGGTCGGAAGACTGAGCTGCCACCTCATCTTCTGATTGCTCGGCTCGTTTCACAAGATGGCATTATGGCCATCTTGAAGTACGGCCATCACCGAATTGACGTGACTGCCGCTACCTGCAATGATCTTATAGTACAGAAGCCGTCCAAGGGTTCACTACCAACCCGCTCGCTGCCGGGAGACCTGCAGCTGGACGAACTCAAGCGTGGTTTTGGGAATCTGTGCGGAGACGGGAGACGCTTGGTAAAAATTACCAGATTGCAGCACTTGCGCGGGCATCAGCAGCTCTTGTAGTCAACACCGTATCAGTAGCAAGTTGTGGCACGAGTTGGTCGCGACGACATTCCTTTCCTGTGAGTTTCGGCTTACTTCCGCCTCTCGCGGGATGTCCTGGGCAAAGGACCTTAGGTAGCATGCAGCCGCCCAACGCCATGGTGCCCACGGCGCCCGGGGGTGCACCCGGCGGGGGTGCACCCGGGCCCGGAGCTCCCGGAGCTCCGGGGATGCCCCCCATGATGGGGATGCCGCCAATGCCCGGCATGATGATGGGAGCACCTCCAGCGACGGGAGGAGGGACAGAGCCGGCGAACGGCACCAGCCCGGCACCGGGAATGCCGGGAATGCCACCCGGAATGCCGGGAATGCCCGGCATGATGCCCGGTGGCATGAACCCCATGATGAACCCGATGATGTTCATGATGATGCAGCAGCAAATGCAGCAGCAGATGCAGCAACAAATGCAGAAGATGCAGAACATGCGACAGGGACAGCTCGCGCAGACCATGATGTCGAATGCGATGAGCAGCCAGTCAGAGTCCAAGTCGGGGGTCAAGCTCCCGGATGACGATGAGACAATCGATCCCGAGATACAGGAGCTTTGCGAAGCTTCCTTGCATTGCTCGAAAGTCATGCTTTCTTGTCCTTGGCATGTACCTTAAGAGCCTTAACGCTTTCTGCAGACCTGCGAGCTGAGGATTACTTCAACATCGAGGACAGATGGATCAAGCGGCTGAACGAGACTATGAGGAAGAGGCAAGACACCAAGGCCGAAGACATCGAGAAGCTATATGAGGTGCTCGAAAGAGCGAGAAGCCCCACCGGCTTACTGACGGTAAAGATCGGTGAGATGGAAAGCGGTCGCTTCATCGGCAAAGTGAAGCCAGACAAAGATGTGGAGCGACTAGCTCGAAAGTTCAGGCTGGATGACCCTGTTGCCTCCAGGCTTACCGCGCCATGGCCGGAAGAGTTCAGTGCCTTTTGAAAAGTCGCATGAGCAGGTGTGTTCTCCAGCAAGTTTTGATTGGCTTTATGGTGTATCCAGTCACTGGACTGTTTGGACTCCGGTCTATCTCGCTTTCATGCAGCGCTAGTGACACCCCGTTGTCTTGCGCTTGTGCAGTAGGGCATTCCAACGTGGTATCAGGGTTTCTTCTTTGGGCCCGCCCCCCTTTCAAGCACTTGCTTCTTCCTGAGACATGATTATCTGCATCATAGAGACACCAGGGTCGACACCAGTTCATGGCTCGACCAACTTTTCGTCGCCCAGGAGCTTACTCACCGGCGAAAGAAGGAGAACGAGATTGACCGCATGCACAAGGATCTAACCACCATCGAGCAGCATCTAAAGTACTGCAAGCGTGCCAGTGCCATGGCGACGCTGCTTGCTGCTTGTCCTGCCCAAGAAGGTTGATTTTTGAGTAGAGCTTCTCAGTCTCATGTTCGTCATTGTGTGTGGCAGCCAGCCACCATTTCATTGTCGGGCCGAGTGCCGAGCTTGAGGTTGGGAAGCTGTTGGAAGGAGAGATTGAAGAGCTGCCGGACTTGTCGGATGCTGAGAAGGTGATGGAGAAGTATCGCCTGGACGATGATGCAAAGTCTAAGCTGCGTGAAATCATCGAGAAGAGGGCGGAGGACAAGGACGAGGTCCTGGTGAAGATCAAGAAGCACCTGGACAACTGCGCGAATCCGTCGTCGATGATTTGCAGCCTGCCTGACAACACCACAGGTGCTTGAATTACCCGCGGCGTAGCTGACCATGTGGGTAACGGGTATAGCGGGTATAAAGCAACTGCCACTGAACCTGCAGTGGAGAACAAAAGCTTTGTCGAGTCCTGTCATGGCATAGTTAACTCAGGGATATGCAACCGTATCTAGCTGTGCTCGGTTTCAATACCAGGACATAGAAGCACCCTTCCAATCTGAAGTTTTAGTACATGCTTGAAATGTTGACATGTAAGATAGGGGACCCCAACACAACATGTCAATCCGAGCGCCGCAATGATGTCACTGTCACGTCAGTCGATTGTTCAAGCATAGCAAATCTAGCAGCATGGAAACGTGGAAGCAACAGTCAATGCAATTGGAACAACAGAAAAATCCTGACAAGGGCTTCTTCATTTGTCCGTTTTAATTCCAGCGGCACATACCGTTTTCTTGACAGATGTTGTCGTCGCAAGGCAAGATCGCCAGGCCGCTGATTGACAACGAGAATTTGCCAGATCCGCCCGACCGGCCGCAAAAGGGCGGCGAAAAGGGTGAGGGCTGCTAGGTTGCATTGCAGCAACAAGGCTTGACTCTTGCTGGATCCTGCTCAAGAGAAGTCTGGCATCAGTACATGAGTGAAGGCAAGTAAGGCCAAAACCGAACTGAGGAAAGGGCGGCGGCAAGGGCAAGGACAAGGACCGAATCCGGATAAAGACTGTGACAGACACACAGATCCTCACGGTAAGTGCTTCAGGACTTCAGAGGTTGACGGACGTTTGCACTCCAGAACTACGATGTGTCAGAGTGCACGTCTCACAGGCCGTTGCGCCAGAATCTCAACTAGACAGCGGGGTGTGAGACTTGTCGTAGCCTCTGGAGCTGAAATCTGGGCCGAGGGTTTGCGAGGCTCCAGGCCTGGTACTCCCACAAGAGCAGGAGCTCCAAGGCTCCAATGGCCTCAATGGCCTTTTGAGTGCTCCGTCCCCAAAAAAGCCCGTGCCACTATAGGTCTTCACTACAGTATATAGCAGGACAATCGGGACCGGCACCGCAGCCGCAGCCGCGACCGACATCGGAGCCGTAGCCGACGACGGCGCAGCCGGAGCGGGAAGGGTTTGTCCCTCCGGTTTTCAGCTTTCTATGCGGTAAGGATACCTCTAGAATTTTGATGGGATACGGCAGCTAGATGATTTAGGGAAGGGGGACTTTCAGTGGTTCAGGTTTCTGTTTTTTGTGCACATCACAGACATTTGAAGCCCGACGTGAAAGGAGCCGCGGGAGACGCAGCCGCAGCCGTGGCCGGGAGAAGAGCCGCAGCCAAGAGCGCAAGAAGCAGTTCGCGCCTCAGTCTGAGCTCTGAGCTCAAACCAAGGCAGCTTCTGGGGGACTTCCGAAAGAGCAGTAAAATTGTCATCCTAATCAAACCTTGGATCAAGCCTCGGAGATTTCTTCCAGGGACCCTGGCAGTTACCAATAGGCATTCTCAACAATAGACTTTACATCGGGAGCGCAAAAGATCTCGTACCAGGTCAGAAGATTGAGCTGCTTGGAAGAGCCTTCGCGAAATGCTAGTGATGCCTCGACATGTTCCAAGTTTCACAAGATGGCTTAGTATTACCTGGCCTCAACTACGGTTGCCAAACCGCCTCCCACGTTCTCTCAATGTTCTCATGGTCTTCATTCAGGTGTTCGAGGGGTTCTCCGCAACCCACTCAACGGGAAGACACCTGCGGTCAGTTAAACTCAAGCGTGGTGCAGACAGGACACGCTTGGGGAAAAAAGGGCTATCGTCCAGTTATCGGCCGGCTGCACTTGAACATTGTTACATGCGACAGGGTTTGCGAGGATTTCTTGGGGGTGCCTACAAATCGACAGTATGCTCGGCAGCACAGCTCCATGACAACGTCTCGCATTTACCTTCGTGAGACTCTTGGGCTCAAAGCCGGCGAATGGCTCTTGCCAAGGCCTGGCACCATAGTGCAAATGATGTTGCATGACTCCATGACTATAATCCAAAGCCTCAAGCTTGAGCTGTGGAGCCTCGGGGCGGTTCAAAGCCGCGAGCGTGTACATGAGAGTCAGTCTGCGTCACCGTTTCAACGTTCCACCGCGGATCGGATTGCTGCAATAAGTGTTGAGGTTTCGGTCTCCAACTGCAAGCCCACCTCAAACAGTGCACTAGACAAACCCACGCGCAATGATCCCTAAGCCCCAACTCAGCGTCCGAGTTCAGGGGATGCTCCCCTGCTGGGCGGCCTTTTCGCAGACGTGGGGAGGTTCACAAGTTCGGGTTTGTAGGTTTAGGGTGTTGAGATGAGACGTTTGGGTTTAAGGGTCTTACTCTGCTTTACGTCTTGAGGAAGAGCGGGAACATCGGAAGAATCTCGGGTGTTGTTTAGTGTTGGTTTTAGCCACATTCGAAGCTGCTGTGAGTACTCTTCTTCTGACTTCGTTCCCAACACCACCCGGCTTTTGCTTGAAATCCTCGCGTGGCATTCCTGGCTGCAGTGCCGATAAATGGTACTCCGAGTCAAAGTTGAAGTCGGTTGAAGAGTTTGGATGTTGGGCTTCTGGGCTGAATTGAGAGAGAGAAACAGTGAGGGCTCTGTTTGGGCCTCATTTGGGGCTCCTCTGTTCTTGATGTTCATGAGCAATTGGGCTCTAGTTCGGGTGGAGACGAAAAAGGACATGCCAGCCTTGTTCACTATTTTCATCGGCCCGGAAGGCTCGAATAAGGCCCATTTGGGTGGTGCGGGGGGAGAAGGTCTTCATGAAGAGGGTGACAGCGAGGAAGTGGAGAGCACGACCCGGCCTTGCTCAGCTTCTCGTCGCACACTCCCCTGCCCCCAAAAGGATCCCTACGTTTGGCGCGCCATGTGCCAGCCTTAGCGAAGCCCTCCCCACCCGTCCGAAACCCCTTCTACTGACTGCCCTGGCAATGTGTCATCTCATTGGGGAGACGGGGCAGCTTCACCGCAGTAGTTGTGGCCATCGGAGGAAGGGCCGGTGATTTTCAACAAGTAGCTTATCTTCTTTCCGCGCATTTACCTCTGAAGTCAGACTCTGAAGGCCTGCTATGTGGATGTATGTAAGGCTGGTGATTACAATCATGCACATGATGAGTCTCTTGCCTACCACCTTCCACAGCAGAAGCCATAATAATGCCTCGCCTTTCTCTGCTTTCGTGGATTTGCCAGTGCTGCAGTGCTCCTGGCGAGGCCAGTGGTGATGGGGTAGCGTGATGCTGCAGCGGCGGTGGGAATTCGTCAAAAGAACATTGAAATTACATAAATTATTCGCCATTCTTGGTCATGTCCAGTGCCGCAAGCCCTTGAGCACTGCGACGGCTGGCCGACGGCAGGGCAACTTTACAGCATAGCTCGAGCATACTTGACCCATCTTGACCCTAGATCGCTGTTCCAAGCGTCGTCTTCAATGGAGCGTATCCCAAAGGCCTGGGTTGAGCAGATCCAGGCCACAAAGCGGGGTCTGTGCCAGGATACAGGTTTATCATTGGTTTAGCGATGCCGCATAGTTCGGGTTTACCGTGGCGCGCAGGGTGCTTCCGCGACAGGCCCACCATCTGTTTCTCGCCTTGCTGGCGAAGCTCACCCGCGCCTGGTCGAACATCGACGGATTTCGTCGCTTTGGGAAATTCGAGCTCTTGGAGGAGTTGCAATAGATTTTGTACCTTTCCGCATCATCAACTTTCGCATGGTCTCCACAGCACGGGTTTGCATAATTCAGACCCCTACATCTTCTAGATAAGGGCTTGTTTGCTTTGGCTTCGACACGAATCATTGATCAGTGAGGTAAAGACTGAGTGAACCAGAACTGCTCTGTTTCCGAGAGGAAGGTACCCAACATGGACCGTGCAAGCTGTCCCCCTCATTTCGAAGATGATGGTAGGCTTCAAGACCTCCCATATCGGAATTACATGGAACAACAGGGGCTTAGTGTAGGCCGCGAAGCAGCGCTGTCCAAATCCAGAAGTGAGTCTAGAAATCCCAACCTGTAGCCTGGTACTCCGGCAGATTCAGACCTCGGCCCCCCATTTACTGTGAACGTCACACTAAGGCCGCAAGAGGCTCCCGCGCCCCAATTCCACCCTGTAACCCTTGAAGTTAACAGCTTTCCGAAAGCTAGGGCCGTGCTGACCGGTGCAGCCGACCGGAGGTGCAAAGCAGGGCAGATGGGGCTGGACTCAAGAGTTTTCGGAACCAAAGGGCGTAGCAGTCAGGGCTACGCAGCGCGAGATTGCGCACCAAACTGAGCACTGTGCCCCTGGAGGTGGCTGCGAAGTATGTAGTTTAGGTCAGGCTACGGCAATCGCTGGTTCTTACAGTTGTTTGGGGCACAGGGTTTTGGCACGCGTTTGATATCTATTGAGTCGTTGAGGTTCAGTTTTGGGCGGGGCCGCTCCGAGCTGTGCAGTTAAAGTAAGCACTTGAAGTGGGGCTTCCAGAGTGATTTCGATGAGTCGTTCCGACCCTTCAGGGATGTGTCCCTGGTTTGCGGAACCTACCTGCACTCCTCGTCACCAACGAGGAGAAGGGCAGACCTGCTACAAATGTAACGTGGATTGCATCCCTTCTAGGCCTAGCCCCTTGCAAGCTTCATGGTCAACAGGCTTTGTAATGCTGGTCTATATGTGGGACATGGCTCTCGGATTCATTTGCAGGCAGCCATGCTCCGATCAGACCGGCCTGTCCGTCTCTGGGGCGGCCATTGCCTTGGCGGCAGCCGGGAGAGCTACGATTCTTGGATTGGCAACGTCTGTGCTCAGGGTTCGCTGCTTTCTCAAGCATCATGTACTCCCTATGATTTCATAACTGTACCCCAATTCTTCGCCCCATACATCATTATGGGTTCAGCACGGCACCCTCAATGTTCAACTGAGTCGGAGCACCTGTTGCATTGTCAGTAGTGGCGCCAAAGTGTCATTTCGGATACGTGCATAGTATGCCAGATATGTGCATTACGTACAGACAAGCCTAGCATTTTTCGTCTAGCGAGGCCTACGATCCTACACTATGTTGCCGAAGTCACAGACCTGCACCAGATTAAACCGCGTATCTGTACGTGTGAAAGCCCATGGTCTGGTGCGAGTACGTTTGTACAGTGCGCGCGCACAGACGTATACACGCATACATACATGTGTGTGTGTCGCCAAGTGTGTGATTATGTATGGCATATGCATATATATATATGTATACACATGTATATACACACATACGTACGCACATGTAAGTACGGTGACGTTTTTGAAATATATGGGGGCCCGGCCAGCCGCACTGGCCGCTCCAGGACATGTCCGTCCGTGCTCAGAGGGGGTCTGAGACGGCAAAGCCTGAATCGCCCCAAACCCCAAACCCTAACCCCCAAGCTCAAGCCTTGCAGCATCTGCAAACTGCAGTTCTAAACCCCAAGCTCAAACCCCAATTTTCAACTCCACAACCCTTGCGTAACCTCAAGCAGCCTTAGCATTGAGGGGCCGTGCTCGCATGATGGAGGAGCTGCTCTGTGGCTTCTGACGAAGGCCTGCCATGCCATGTCGAACCTGTCGTGTTGGAACCTGTGGCTTCTGACGAACGCCTGCCATGTGGGTTTGAGACCGAACCAAGCGCAAGGTGTGCGCTGGATCCATGAGCGTTTGATGTCTGATGTCCCGGGAGCTGTGCTCCTTGACGACATTGGCCTGAGGAAGTCCGTGCAGGCGCTTGTGGCTTTGTACTTGTTCTGCAGAGGACAGAAATGCAAAGGGATCGTTGCGACACCAAAGACGCTGCTGGGCCACTGGCAGCACGAGATGTCACGTTGGCTGCCTATACAAATGCCACCGAGATGATCGACGTGTTTTCCTACCCGTACTTACGAGGCTGTTTTAAGCGCTGCGGTTGGACAGCCTCCGATGACAGCGACATTTGGCGCAACGTCAATTTCATCGTCATGGACGAGGCCCACCTTTTGAAAGGAGGCACGGGCCAGTTGTCGCAGGCTATGAAGCAGGTGCCTGCGAGGAGAAGACTGCTGCTTACAGCCACGCCCATATCCAACGAGTTGAAGGACCTTGCCAACATCCTTGAAATAGCTGTCCCCGATCGCACGTTCGATGTGCAGCAGCTTGCCTCGCGAGAGACGGAGGCCACAGTGCCCAAGTTAAATAGGCCGAAGGGTCGGAGCAAGGGTTTAGGGCTCGAGGCTCAGAGGGTTTAATTCGGGGTCAGCTGAAGGCAACCTCCCACATTCTCTACCAATGAGGGGGTAAGGATCAGTTAATGCGAACGGACTGCGATGCCCAGTCAAGTTCTGTGGTGTCACGATAAGAGCTATGATGAGTTATGACTTGTAAAGTCCAAGAGTGGAGGCACGCTACGCGCACTCCATCTCTAGGTGTTAGCCTGCGGGCATGCTTCGCATAACACAGCTGCGATATATCCTATGCCGTCATCGCCTCTGGGCGACAGCCCGCAGGACACCGGGCTGCGGCTGAAGCTGCATGGGAAACCTTCCTGTCATCCTGCCGTACCTATATATTTTGCAACGAGGAGTAGAGGTTTACGCGCACACACTGCCACCGAAGACCACACGATGGGTGTTTGTGGATGTGTCTCTCGTAGAGCCCATGACTTACAGGGCTGCGCTGCAGAAGCTACAGCGCACGAAGCAGGAGAAAGGGGCGCCGCTGCGCACTTTGCAAGAGCTGCAGAAGATCGCTGAAACCAGCAAGATTAAGTTCGTGATGTCCTTTGTCCGCAGCCTCGCTGCCACTGACAAGGTCGTCGTCGTCTCCCGGTACTTGGAGGTCTTGCGTCGTTTGGGTGCACAGCTGCAAGAGGATGGCTTCGATAACCACAGCCTCATCGGCGACATGAACCCTGAGGAGCGAAGCTTGCACGTCAAGGAGTTCAACGAGGGATCTTGCCAAGTTTTCTTGCTATCGGAAGATGCTGGCGGCCAGGGCATTTCCCTCATCGGTGCCAATTATCTTCTGATCTTCGAACCATCATGGAACCCCTCGCTGGACGTGCCTTATTCTCTTTGTTTCATCGTGTTTTTGGCATTTAAGGTTTGGGGTTTAAGGGCTTAGGTTTACAAGTTTAAGGGCTTAGGTTTACAAGTTTGTGCTTAGGATTTTGAAGCATGGTTCTGAGGAGCAAGCGTTTGGACGTATCTGGCGCCCGGGGCAGTCTCGCGCATGCCAGATCCTTCATTTGTTTTCTTCAAATACGGTGGACGAACGGTGTCTGCAGCGACAGTGCAGCAAGCAAGGCATCCTGAAACTTTGCACTTCTTTGGCGCAAGAGGAGTCGAAAAAGGTTTTTGAGTATCCGTGCCCTTCTACCTGGCCTGTCCGGGAAAAGGATAGTGATGGCAGCGATCGTGAGCAACAATGTTTGGATGCTGGTGGAAAATCATGGATTTTCGTATGCCAACCTGGTCATGGAACAGTGCGGGATGTCGTGCGCAGCCCTGCCCTTCCGTGGCCCGCCCGATCCTTCAGAGATGCCCCAGCCATCTTTTCCTTCCCGCCCGGCTCCCGAATTAGGTCCTTCAGTACTCCGTGCCAGTCCTTCGCCTTCAGTACCTTGTGCCAGTCCTTCGGAGTTGCTGGAGCCACTTCCGAAAGAAGCAGCAGCACCAACAGCAAAGAGCCAGGCGCTGCCTCTCAAAACAGCAGCCAAAACCATGTCGGGCAAGCGAAAGAGACCAGGCCCCCGTCGGGCGCTCATCAGCTGCAAGTTTCTGATTCGATGATTTCTTGCAGGAATGAGGGCTGTCACCTTCGAGACAACAAAAAAAGTTGTATATGTATTCCGGATCCGGACAGTTCGCGCACAATTGCCCCATCCCTGCCACCCGGGCAGCGAGGGGACAGGCAGCCAGGAGCAAGACCAGATGAAAGCTGAATCACCAGGAACGGTAGACATTGTGCCTCCGGGGTTGTTTGCATAGCGGATTTTGTCCTGTGTCAGAAGTGGGGCCAAGTAAACCTAACCCTAAACCTTAAATCTAAACCTAAACCTATAACCTAAGCCATCCTAAACTAAACCCTACCCTGAGCCCTGGCCTCTGGGGTTGGTTAGCCTACGACCACAACGGAAGACCTTGTAAACCCCCCTTGAACCCCTTTAAGACCACATGTAATTTTTAGAAAACTTTGACGTAATGTTAGGGGCCGTCATGATTGAATAGGGTTGGGGGTATATTGTACTATTCGTTCTAATAAAGAACTGGCAAAACCTTATTCTGATTATTAAGGCCCCTACATTACCAAGCAAAGAAGGGGCCGGACACCAGGCTCCTGGAACCAAGCACGAACCCAGAGAGCCCAATACCCTTTAATTCAGGAATATGGTTTAAATTATATAGGGCTTCACATTATGATTTAAGCCATATTCCTTAATTAAGGGGTATTGGGCTCTCTGGGAAGAACTCAAAGCGAAACACAAGCCCTGGGAAGTAAAAGTACCTTTAGGGGTATGCTCCTTAGCATTCCTTCAACACTGAAAAACCCTTATTCCCTTGTTTGGGGTTTGGCTTCCTCCTACGTCCCTAGTTCCAGTTTTGTTGTTTTGTTTTTACTCTCCTAAAGCCACTTACCTGTCAAACTGCCCGCAAGCTCCCTGACCGCAGGCCGACATCACTTTGGCCGGATTGGCTGGAAGGTGGAAGGCTGGAAGGCTGGAGGGCTCGGATTGGAAAACTGGAAGGCTGGAAGGCTGGGTTCAAGGAAGGCTTGAAAACTGGAAAGTTGGAAGGCTGGAGGGCTGGGGCTTGGGGCTGGTGGAAGGCTGGAGGGCTGAGTCTGGAAAACTGGGCTGGAGGGCTGGAAGGCTGGAGGGCTGGGCTGGGAAGGCTTGAAAACTGGCTGGAAGGTTGGAAACCAAACCTTGAGCGCTGGGGCTTGGGGCTGGAGGAAGGCTGGAAGGCTTGAGGAAGGCTGGAGGGCTGGCTCGGTTTGGCTTGAACCTAAAGCTGAAAGGTTTGGCTTCTGCCTGAACCCTAAACCCTTAAACCCTAAACCCCAAAATCCTAAACCCCAAACCCACCAATCATCTGCCAATCTCCTGATATTTTATTTCGAGGCAGGCCCGGGCGATGTTTCACGGAGGTAGTGTAATATACCTGTTTAACCTGTTTAAATATCCGTGTATTTAAAAACAGACGCCGTAAGTATGTATGTATCTATTGTACTTAATGTACTCAATGTAATGTAACGTAATGACATGTACGTATGTATGTCACTGTATGTCAACGTATGTATGCATGTATGTATGTATGTATACATTTATATACATGCAAGTAATATTTATATGTTCTTTACACACACACATACGCGCGCAAACACACACACACACACACACACACATATATATATATATATATATATACATATATACATATATATGTACATGTATGTAAGTATAATAATATATATATATATATATATATATATATATATATATATATATATATATATATATATATTGTGCAGATGCTCAGTTACCTCTTAAACCTCGCCTGCTTGTCGAGAGCGAGTGCCAAAACGTATATGTATATATATATATATATTTATTTATTTATTTATAGATTTAGATTTATATATTTATATATACAGATGTATGTACGCACGTATGTATGTAGGTGGGTGGGTATGTATGTATGTGTGCATGTATGTATGTACGTATATATATATATATATATATAGATGGATAGATAGATATAGATATAAATATAGATATAGATATAGATATAGATATAGATATAGATATAGATATAGATTTAGATTTAGATATAGATATAGATAAAGATATAGATATAGATATAAATAGATATATATATATATATATATATATATTAGGTGAATGCGCTGGTGTTCTGTGTCGGTCAGCTCAGCCGTGCAAACCCATCCCCCACCGCCAAACCTCTCATGAATCCGTGCCTGCCCTGTGCCAGTGTGCGACGAGTTGAAACCTGTTTAAATCGGGTGGGATTCACAAGAAACAAACTGTGCATCCTAAGCCGGACCGGCATGGCGTCATCCTGCACCTTTTGATTGATTCCAAAGCCCAGATCCTTCGCCAAAATCATTTGGAGGTGTACATTTAGAAAGATACGCCTCGCTGCTGCAACAAGGAAAGCAAAGGGGGCACGGACCAAGCTGAAGAAGAAGCGGCCAGCCGGGCTCGGCTTCAGTACGCCGAGGGTGCTTCTTGTCTAAATGGGAGAAAACACCTTTGAGCAAACTTGCATTCGGCTCTCAGAACTGACCCCGAAAGCCGCCAGACCTTTCAAAGGTCAGACGAGCCTGTCACAGGCTATGATACTGGCCCCAAGCTTCTTGCCCTTTGGCTGGAAAACTGGAGACATACTAGTAGAGCTTCAGGAAGCAAGGACAGAAGGCGGAGAACGTGACGTTGTATGCATGTTCACATCTTCCGTATTGGAGGTCGGGGTCTAGAGGGTTTAGGGCTGTGACGGCTTGGATTTATTGTGCCTGCAAGCTTCTTTCTCCCATCTCCCGTATCCGAAATCAAGCCCACCGGAAGCAATGCAGGAGATCCTGAAGTATCCGCATCCGGCTCTCCGGCGTCCGAACGCCGAAGTGCGGCACGGCAAGCAGTCCTGAAGATTTCTAAACCCTAAAGGCCATAAAGCTATGGCCTATAGTGTTAGATGTATATATAGATATGTATATATATATATATATGTATATATGTATATATGTATATATGTATATATATATATACATATATTTATATAGGTAAATATAGATACAGATATAGATACAGAAGCTGATGCAGATTCAGATCTAGATATGGATACAGCAGCCCTTTAAAAACACGCGATTGGCGGACACCCGCTCATGTCCTTCTCAGGACAGACTTTGGTCCCAAGCTTCGGCAGCTGATGCTCGGCTCGAATTTGGAGCTCGCTTCACTCAAGTGGCCACGGCCACGGGGCTCTTGTGAGATAGATGGGTTGGTATTGACAGGTATCCTCAAATCCTACACTTGCAGCAATCCAGTCATTTCACGTCCCAGGTCGGAGAACCTCTTTCGGACCATGTACGCGAAGGACAATGGCTGCGGGCTTGCTGCGCCCCAATGTGGCGTCAATCTCCGGGTTGGGACCCTGGCGAGAGTCCTCGAACACGTAAGCAAGTTTCCACCTAGCCTAGGCAGTCCAATGCAGCCTTGAACTACCCGACTGCTCGGCAAACGCTAGACAAGACTGAAGCAATTCTGCATACTATAGCAGCAAATGATTGCGCCGGCGTTGGCCGTGAATTGGAAAGATGATAGAGTAGCCAACACCAGCCCACTAGCAGTCAAGCCAACATCTTGGTGGTTGTGGGGCTGATGATAACCCTATTTGTCGGCAGCATCAACATGTTCGGCATCCCATCACGACCCCCACTATCAACACGGTCATGTTGCATCGTCATCGCCAACATCGACACATACAATACTCAACGCCATCACCACGAGCATCAACATTACCGCTGTCATCGTCATCATCATTACCACCAGCATCACCACCAGCTTGACGGTCGTCATCATCAGCTTCACTTTTCTTATCACTGGTCCCCTTGACAATGGCATCGTGAGCCTCATGTTCCTGTTCAGCACTTTGTAAGTGTGAGGAGGCGAGTGTCTTTCTTGCATGAGTGCGAGGTGGTAGCTGTAGTTTGAGACGTGACTTAAAATCAGTTGTCGAGGGGCTTGGATGACAGAATGCGGCGGCCCTCGCTGTGGAAGTGGAAGCACATGCTCGCAGCGATGGCTAGTGGGAGCTGTGAGTGCAAACCCTTATGATATCTGAAAGCTACGTGTAGGTGATGGTGTACAACTACCAGCGCATCGCGGGCGAAGGTCGAAAACCTGAAGGCTTTCGTCTCGTTTAGTGATTACAAAGGGGTTTGGGATCAGGCCTGTGTCGCTTGATAGGGTTTCAGTGTTTAGGGATTAGGGATGAACGGGAATACGGTAAGTTTAACGGCAGACTGGTCGAGCCGACCTACCACGCAAGCCACGTTCTCGTCTTGGAGTTCAGGGTCTAGGGTTGGAGTTACAGGAGCTACTAGGCTACAACACGGTAGTCCTATGACGCTATGGCGAATGCAGGATTCGGTTGTTGCGTTTTCCTTGTACAATGTTTGTACCATGCAGTTTGCTCAGCCTGCGGTGTTGTCATACAAACTCGGAACAGGAGTCCACCACGGATCGATGTTTCTGCTATCCCTGAAACCTAACCAGAGGCCCTTCACTCTCCACCTTCCGAGATTTGAAGGTGAGGTGGTCTTCGTGAACCCTCGCATCACGGCACATTCCGAGGAGAAGTGCGAGGCCCCGTATCATGTCGTGTTCTCCCGTGTCCTTCAACCGCGGGAACTGGGGTGCCTTTCTGCAGTGAGTTGTACATTCAACCCTAAACCCTAAACCCTGCAAGTGCTGTTTCACTTCGCGGACTCCGAACCATATGCCTCGCCTGGATTGTCCGAGTGTGAGCGCCGAAACCCTGCAAGCAGATCCGTCCAAACACACCAGAAACACTTGGTTTCACCGTGGCCCAGATGCTGGAGGGCTGCCTCTCCTTCCCGAATTTCGGGGCCCCAGTGGTTCGGCCCGCGTGGGTGGAGGTGGGTTTCAGAGTTTCGGGTCTTGGGTCTGGAGAGGGACTTCCAGTGTTCAGGCAGTATCAGTTTTAATCGGGGGGACGAGGATGTATGGTGGCAGCTTTGACTTAAGCAGAACTTACCGCTACATACCTATCTAGTGAATCTAGTGAAGGTCTTAGATTTCACGTTAGCATGCACTGTCCTGCAATTTTATGTTGTAGGTTGTCTGTCTGCTTCGTACTGTGAATCTGCTTCGGTATTGGTGTCGCCATGCCCCGATCATCAGAATGAGCTTCATGCTTGTCCCAGAACAATTCTGTTCTATTCTCCGGCGGCGCGGAAAAAACCCTTCCAAAGCGCGTGATTCGGACCCTCAACTCTGATCAGGTGCAGGCGGTAGACCTGGATGGAAACCCGCAGCTTGGCTTAGGCTTAGTCGGGAATCCGTCAGGATCCCAGTGCTATGTATGATGCATCACCAATCCATGCATTCCCCCCGTCGTAGGTCGTCAGCACATGCGCGGAGAGGCAGCCATTTAACACCATAATCTACCATCCGAGGTATACGAAGCGACTAGAAGGCTCGTCGCGCTGATTGAATGCATGCACTTGAAGAAAGGCAGCACAGACTAACACGGGGTCCGGCCGCCGGCCTGCAGCAACAGATTGGCTTCAGATTTCGGCAGCTGTTTCTCGAAGAGGGCCACGGGCAGGTGACGAAGCTCGAGTTTTTCAGCACGAGTATGACCACTTGGATGTCGCCAGCTCAGCTCTTCCAAAGTCCGATGACACTACGTCTCGTGCTCTTCTTGCATCTGTACTCTGCGCCTGACGGTGTCGCACGTGTAGCTGTTATATCAAGATATAGCAAGTTGAGGCTCGTCTATGCATCGTAATGTAAGTAATGCACTGCCTGTGTGTGCAATTATGTAGGTATGTACTCAAGTATGTCGGTTTATGTTTGTCTGTACAGGCAGTTACATCCTTCTTATGTTTGCTGACTGTTGATTTTTGTACTCTACTGTGCTGTGGCGCCAGTTCTTGCCCTTGCTTGAACTATCTGTTGTGGCTGCATCCGCTGTTGCGTTACTCGCTGTTGCATGTGCTCATTGCCCTTTCTGCTCAACATAGCAAATACGTGGGAGATGCAAGCGGGTACCTATATGCACAGATGGATGGATAGCAGATAGCTGGGGGAGGTATGTGTGCCCACACAGGCGTTCACTGTCTAGTGTTGTGCGTTGTGCTGAGCTGCCTAACATCGCTATCCAATGTGGCATCACGGCGTGATATATCAATCCTGTCGCCTGCTACGGTTTATCATACCTTTTATCGCAGCAGTATGAATCCTCACACCGTCTCACTCTATTTGCAATTCTTGCTCCACAGTTTCTGGACTGGTCTTCTCACATGTATAGTCTAACAGTCTCACGGCCTAAACCCCCTAAAACTGGCAGGGCATCGTTTACATAGATCTCGTGGCAGACGAGAACAAGAAGGAGATCGCAGCCAACCTCAAGACGCCCTGCACGACTTGAGAAACTCAGGAGGGCTAGAGACCGCACCACAGTCACAAGTCACAAGAACCGTACAGCTGCCGTCGATGTATTCAAGCTGGTATGTAGATACGTAGATAAGCAAGCCAACAGGGGACAAGACCGAACAAACAAAACAAATGCTGGATTTTAGACGGCTGTATCTCTAAATGGTATACAACTGATATATTCATGTGTATGCACAGGTACGTACATGCATACATGCTGGACAGAAAATTGTAGACCCAAGCTTGCTGAGCTTCGATGCATGAATCTGGAGCTGAGCTATGCCGGCCTGAGCGAAGACAACCTGTCTGCATGCACATCCACTGCATGCATTCCTCATAGACCTGATTCGTAGCCGAGATAAAGACGCAGTGTATCCCGCTTTGTGTGTAGATCCTCGTAGAAGAGGTTTTTCCATCATTGGGTCAGCACTCAGGCTTAGGACTCAGGCTTGCATTTGTTGTTTTGGGTTGGACTTGGCGAGGGAAAGTCGCAACACAGTAACCCCGACCCGGAGCGGCGACGTGGAATCGAAGCAGCCAAAATCCTGCCAGACCACAGCCACCTCGAATTGTAAGCGGGGCCCGGAAGGTAGAGTTCGGCATAGGCTCGCGGGAGCCCCCGGCTTCTGACAATCCACCGACAGACACTTTATGGTGGGAACTAGCTTCAGAGAGCCGTTGACCCTCCAGCCCTCAAGACTCGCAAAGCTCAGGAAGCTCGTCAATGACTATGCAGCTGGGGGTGGCAAGGATCCACGGCCCTGAAGCGTTTGATGGGCTTTGCACTCACTCCTTAACCTCCGACTCACACCCCTGAACCCTGCAAGATTACTAGCTCCTGCTACAGTCTTTCACTTCCTTCACAGACTTGGAACCACATGCCTCGCCTGGTCCGTCCGAGTGGGAGCGCCGAAACCCTTGCAGGCACAAGAGCTCTTGAGCTCCGTGCGAAGACAAGCTTCAGGATTCGGGGCCTTCGCTTTCCGTAGCTCGCTATCGTTTCCGTTTTACCCCACTTTGCCCGATGTTCCGACACTTAATGACACGTGCTGAGCATCAACATGATCGTCACGATAACCATGGTTCTCGCACCATCACTGCAGGCATTCACAACGGCATGCTGCACGCACGGGTGTGGACAGGGGACTGTGGCAATTAGGTATCGGAGCCTCGAAAAAAAGCCTGGTAGGGACTTCGTTTAGTTTTAGTTTCTCATGTTATTGGCATGTGTGTGTGTGTATGTATGCATGCATGCATGCATGCATGCATGGATGGATGGATGGATGTATGTATGTATGTATGTATGTATTTGTATATGTATATATATGCACGCACACACAAACACGCATACCTCCACTTTTTGCACTTTGCAGACGCAATCAGTGACCGCTAGCGATGCAGGCGACAAACGCGAATGTCGCGGCCATTCTTAGGCGCCATCTACCCAGCAACGGATTGAGTGGCAGATGGAGAACCATTGCCCAAAGACCAAGCGTTGTAGGTTATGCCTATGCTCGCATCGTGTCTATGGAAGACGATGCTGAAAGAGAACGCGGGGAGTGGTCACACCAGAATCTCGCGTATTCGCCCCGTGTCGAGAGGACAAACCTCATCCGACAGTAAACCATAGCAGCCATAGCAGCGCAGACCGTAAAGCGTCAAAGCAACGAATAAAAAACGCCACCGCCTCCACACAGCGAGCAGAGGCCTTCATCCGCACCAAGCGGCACACTGCCTTCGCGCTCTTACTACATAGTAAGAGTGGCCCCTCCAACCGAAAGGCGGCAACACCGCAGAGGCGTTATTCAGAAATTCCGCCTCGGAAAGGACGCGCCTCCAAGTCTCCAAGAACACAACAGCAAGGGCCAGTCGGCTGCTGCAGCTTTCTCGCGCTTACTGACCGTAGCCGGTTACGCACAGCGCTTTGGCCCTTACTAACTGAAGCCCGGCAGCAATCCTGGGCTTTGTGTTGTACTCCTTCGCCCGGTGCAGGTGTAGGATGGTGTAGGCAGCATGCGCAAGATAAGAAGACCAAGAATGAGGCCAGAGCATGTGTCAACCTGGGGACTTGGGACCCCGAGCTGGCTGGGGCACACAGCTGCCACACTGTCTCATCTCCGTACTGGTAGCGATTGGTGAGTCCCCCCTGACAAAGGTTCAACGTCGTTCGCCACAATTTGGGTGGCGAGCAGTCAACCCACCATGCAATGCGAACTTGCACTCCGCAGGCTCAGTCGCTCCCTGTTGCAGTGTCCCCCGTTGGCTGATGTCAGCTGCGAGCTGCCGATCCGTGACTTGCTATGTGCTTCATCCCCAGAGTGCTCACGATCCACAAGAGCAGAAGAAGGCAGCCCGTGATGCAGGGGAGGGGGTGGAAGCAAATCCTCAGAGACAACCTACAGCCAGAAAGCCTTGAGAAAAAATGGCACAGACAGACTTACTTGCTTACTTTTGCATCGCGTTACGCACGTACATACATTCATACATATACATGCATACATGCAGACATTTATGCATAAGCGGTGGGGTCTTCGTTTCGCAGAAATGTCCATAGAAGCTCAGAACTCCCCGGGCCCTGGCCCGGGGTGTAGCGGAAGGATTCCCTGTTTCACGGACACGCCCAGCCGGCGTATCGAGGAGTTTGGGGAAGTCGCTGACTTGAGGGCTTCCTGCCCTGACGTGGTCCCCGGTGGGGCATCGGTTGGGGATGTGGGGTTTAATATAGTCGGGGCCAGCAACTTCTTGGCACTGCGGGGGTCCCAAGAGCCTTGGAAGACAGACGGAGACCCAGATCGGTGAGGATCGTTCCCAAACTGCTGTGACTAGGCAAGTGCCTGGATCTCAAACCTCGCAAACCGCAGCGTCGCGTCGGCAAAAAAGGTGCCCCACACGATGACTCTTGCACGTCTGCAGACAGCTGATCAAGATAGCCCTGGACTCTGAGTCTCCCTGGTGCTGCCTGGGGTCAACTCGGGGTACACCGGTCACGCTTCAAGGAATGCCGAGTTACAGGCGACTTGAGCCTTAAATCAAATCCTACCTCCAGAGATCCCAACCCCTGGGCTCCACACCGAATTCTCGGAAACCTGAAGCGTCCAAATAGAGACCCCATTGTTTCGGTAGGTTTCACTCACTCCAGAGATTGCTGTAGAGGGCTTCGGGGTTGATGCTTAGGGTTTTTGAGGCTTTGAGGGTTCCTTCGGGCTGAGATGGTTAGGATATTGGAGGACCCGGGTTCCCGACTGTGAAAGCCTGCAAGACCTGTACGCTTGGTTGAAGCTGTGACATGAGAAGAACACTGAAGAGCCAGCTGCATGCGCAAAAGACCAGACGGTGCCTGGAGGTTGTTTTGTACGAAGTAAGACGAGGCCGCAGTAAAAGAGCTTCAGAAACTCTTACGCCGGCTTCAGGCCTCGCATAAGCCAAAGCCAAGACCAGAGCATCAAAATGCACCATCGAAATCGGAGCAGCGCACTTACTGGCGGCCAGCACTCTTTGCAGGCACTGAGCCCTGAACTTCCAAGGTTCCACGAAACAGCCCTTAGCGTAACATGGCTGCCTCGCATCGGCTGGTTAGCGACGCCAAAGGCGGGAACAGTGGTCATAACGGTAATAGGACACGGGCCAAGCACTTCAAGCACATATGCAGGGCACTTCAGAATGGCGGAGTTGTCAGAAGCTTGAAGTTTTGTTAGGTTTGAATGTATGAGGGGTGTATCGAACCAATGCTTCTGGTAACAAGAATCTAGTTCGCATAAACTGCACATGTTCCACTTCTCTGAATGGGCCACAGCTCTGGTCGAAGCTCGTACAGTAACGGTTTGGCACCTCGCATTTTGGAAGTTGGCGGTGTATCTTCTTTTTTGGCTGGGGCGAGGGGTTTTGGGGTGGGGCGGGGTGCTTTGGGCATCTTCCGATCTCAGCCTTCGAAGCCTTGCCTCCGAAGCTTCGGTTGCCGAGATCGAGCACTGGCTCTGACTGACCGCATTGCCAGCTGTGGCCAGGCTTCCGTTCTCTTGGGAGATCGGGTACTATTTCGGCTTTAGGCTTAAGGTTGCAAGGCTTGGGCCGCGGCATGGCGGCACCGAGTGTCTCACAAGAATAATGACATGAAGTAGCTGTAAGACCGTCGTTCAACATTCACCGGTTCCCACATCAGTCCCTTCTCCGGAGCGGCCGGCTTTCAGTTGTGTTGTTGCGCATGGCAGTTCAGGATTGATGCTACCTTGCAGGACTGGGAACAGTTGAGGGGACGAATGGTCTTGTACCTCTGAAGCCGTCTCGCGACAGATGAAGTGTTTCGGGCTTCTTAAGGGGAGGTTTGACATGAGCCTATTGTGGCAGTCGACTGCCGAACCGACCTACCCTTCGGTGCAACGGAGGAGCTGCAGTGATGTGCCTTCCGGCTGGAATCATGTTTGCAATGTCGTGGCTCGCGAACTGGAGCTGTCAAGTTGAAAGCTTTGCCAGGCCCTGCACGAGATCCTGACCACGGCACGGGGACTCAAGCTATGGAGAGCCCCCCACGCGAGAGCACACCCCATGATCACGGTAGCTTCCGGGACGTGGACGCACCGAGTCCTCCCGACCCTTGCAGTAGTCAGTCGTGTAGTCCTCCCAGGAACTTGCGGCACACAGCCCTAAGCCGGGGGTTGGACTCCAACTTCCATTCAAGCAAAGTACTTGCGATCGTAACCCATCCGAGATCCCGCCCACGCCGTCAATGGCCGGCGGGCAGGCAGGAGGCTTTTTGGGTGTCATGGCTGTGGGTTGGAGGCGTGGAGGTTAAGAGCTCCGGGCTCCCCGGCCAATTTATCTTCACAGAGTCGGAGCTGGCTACACTCACTCAGCGACAAGGGCTAGATGAGCATAATTCCCTATTGGTTGCAGGTTTTGTGCGTGTTTCGTTTGCAAGTCTGCGGTTCCTGAGGCCCCAATGACCCCAATGCTCACAAAGGCAGAAGCCGGCATGCTTCGGCATCACCTGGGCGCCTGTGCCAAGCTGCGGGAAGCACGGCAGATCTGCTCGGATCTGAAAACGGACCCCGATGTCATGTCACTTGTACTTTGTCACTCTAGCTATAGGTAGGGTGCTTGGATGTAGCAATTCCTGCAGGCGGGCTGACTTCTTTCGGACGGTGTGGATTCGCGCATGGGGTTTTTCAGCAGTCACCCAAAGCTTTGGTTTGCATGCCCAGTTGAGGTGCAGGGTGTTGATGCCACTGCCCCGTAAGAATATCAAACACCACTAGAACGTATAGACGCCTGTGTGCTCATTCCCTGCATTCGGCACCATTTTTCCAGGCGATGGGACCATGATTGCAGGCGGATTAGTAAGCTCGACCGTCTGTGCAGGAGCAATATGCAGCCGGGTGCCCAGAACGAGCGGCACGCATTTCCAAAAGCTGCGACGCCCAAAGCCTTTGGCCGAAGACCTTCGAAGGCATACGGAAGAACCGGGGACTTGCTTATTTTTGAATCACAAGCAGTAGTAGTAGTAGTAGTAGTAGGAGGAGGAGCAGTGGTGTAGTAGTAGTCGTCGTAGTAGTAGTATGTAGTAGTAATAGTAATAGTGATAGTGATATCAGTGTCGTAGTAGTTGTAGTAGTAGTAGTAGAAGTAGTAGAAGTAGTAGAAGTAGTAGTGGTAGTCGTAGCGGTAGTGGTAGCGGTAGCGGTAGTGGTAGTGGGGGCGGTAGTGGTACCGGTGGTGGTAGTGCTCACTCACTCACCACGCTGCAAGGTCCAGTCTCGCTTGCGTACATG